GGTAAATAGAAGTGTGAAGTATTTGAAATTTTCTTTACGCATGATTCGTAGTTTATCCTGCTGACCTCATTCGTGGAGAAATTAGAATATATTTCAGTTCTCTACCTAACAGTTGTTGCTGAACATGTTGTGTTCAGCGGAAAAACACTGATGAAAGCTCCACAACCAAAAAAAACATCATCCATCTCAGAGAACAAAACTCCATTGTAATCATTAAACCAGAGCGATCGATTTTCGCCACCATGTCAAAAGTTTAAATTAACAACACGTCAACATAATACTTTTTAGTCTGAATACTTCGAATACATGATCACCCAATGGTGGACTATTAATAAGTTCAGACAATTGTTAAACAGTTCAACAAGTATTGTAGTGAACGAGAACACAGGTGGAGCAACCGAATTGAATTTAACGAAAGTTACAGCGTTACTCAGTAAAATCGGAAAACCATATCGTAAATCGTTCATTTGCAAAATATCAGTTCATCATATTGAACTGGACTGTTCCTGTTGCAAAACATCAACAATCCATTGTCACTATTCATGCGTTTCATACAAATTCCATTGTGTTCTAACTCTTCCTTTCTTGATCTTCCTCCATCTTCTAAGGCCAGACATTACTTTGACACTCACGTCATTGTACTACTTATAAGTAGCTCACATCACAAGATGATTTCAAAAGAATTTTCCCTTAGAAAAATTACATAATAATTTTATATAGAAGAAATGCCTGTGTAGATTGTTGAGTAACTTTATTGAAATCATGAATGGATAATTGTTAAACCATCATTAGAAACTCTGAAAGCACTGAAAAGCTGTTTCGTCCCAGTATGTGAGACTTATCAGCGATGCGCATCCACAACTCCTGCACCTCACATAATCTATCAGCAGCAAACAGTACAAACTTCTGGTAGATAGAAGTGAAAAGTATTTGAAATTTTCTTTACGCATGATTCGTTGTTTATCCTGCTGACATCAATCTTGATTGGTAGTCAGTCATTTGTGGGTAGAATTTCGAATATATTTCAGTTCTCTACCTAACAGTTGGTGCTGAACATGTTATGTTCAGTGTTCAGCGGAAGAACATTGATGAAAGCTCCACAACCAAAAAAATTATCATCCATCTCAGAGAACAAAACCCGATTATGATCATTAAACCAGAGCCACCATCTCAAAAGTTTAAATTAACACGTCAACATAATAGTTTTTACTTTCAGTACTTCGAATACATGATCGCCCAATGGTGAACTAATACTGAGTTCAGTTTGAATGCTAATGACAAAGATTTCGATTGTTATGAGTATTTGTGGGTGTTTTTCGCTTTATAAATAGATGATTTCAAAAGCATTTTCACTTGAAAAAAATTACATAACAATCTTATAAAAAGAAGAACAGCTTGTGTAGATTGTTGAGTAACTTGAATGAAATCATGATTCGATCAATGTTAGACCATTATTAGAAACCCTGGAAGCACTGGCTGAACAGCTGTTTCGTCTCAGTATGTGAGACTTATCAGCAATGCGCATCCACAACTTCTGCACCTTGTATAATAATATATCAGTGATTCTTGTAAATTGTTACAGTTCAATTTTATGATTTTTCAAAGTTGCATTCATAAACCAAGGTGTTCAATAATGAACATTGAATACTGACTGAATAACCTAAAGATTAATCATTCAAGATACTGAAAGTTATAATTTAATTCTTCTGTAGTGAACGCCGAGAAATAGAGAAAGACATAAGAAGAATGAACAAAAACTGGAAAGCACTGGAAAAGGAAGCCGAAGGACAGAGTTGATTGGAGAAAGCTGGTGGGCGGTCTATGCTCCATTGGGGGTAACAGGCATAAGTAAGTAAGTAAGTAAGTAAGTAAGTAAGTAAGTAAGTAAGTAAGTAAGTAAGTAAGTAAGTAAGTAAGTAAGTAAGTAAGTAAGTAAGTAAGTAAGTAAGTAAGTAAGTAAGTAAGTAAGTAAGTAAGTAAGTAAGTAAGTAAGTAAGTAAGTAAGTAAGTAAGTAAGTAAGTAAGTAGTGAACACATAAATGTACGTTATTGAATTACACTGCAAACTGGAACAAAACAGCTTTTCAGTAATGATTTAACTAACATCAGTCCAAGATTTAACAAATACAAACCAAACTATCATTAGTCAGTGTATATCATCGTACTAGTAATAGTTTGTACTACAAACAATCCTCAGTTCACATAATATAATTTGAAACCATGTAACTCATCTTTGGGATTAATAACTTTGAATGTAGTCATGTATGCGCACTATCACTGATAAGTAGTCCCATACAAGGACGAAACTGCAATCCAGTGCTTCCAGGTTTCTAATGGTGTTGGTCTTACAATGATTGGTTCATGATTTTAAATGAGTAGAAACATTGATCTCTATAACTCTAATTTTTAAAAAAATGTACTCCTACTTGAACAGAATTTATTTCAGTAAAACAAATATTCTTTGTTTATCTGATCTGTGTTTAAATGGACGAATGAAAGTTGTATCGATGAATTCATTTTAAAATATTTTTTTTAAAACCCCATTAAAAATAAAACATTTTTTAACCGTGAACATTGATCATAATGAAAAAAATGATCATCTTAATAGCCCCTTAATCAGTAGTATAAGTAAAATATATGCTAAAACGAATTTATAAAATAAATGTTAATTACATTTAACGCACTAATTCTCATCATCTCTTTTAATAATCAATTAGTTAGATATAATTAAAATGTCAGTATTTGAAACAGAGTTATTCATTATTCAATTATCGTTTGAATCAGATTAATTGATCATCGTCAGACCATCATTCTATTTGAAAACTACTGAAAACACCGAACAACTGTTTCGATCTAGGTATGAGACTCAAATATACTCACTAGTGACTAGCTTCATCATGAAATTAATTCTCAGAGTTCTAGTGTGACTAGTCGTGTGATGACTAGCTGAGTTCAACTGTGTCGAGTGTTAGTTAGTTTACTCATCGAAAACATTTACACCATTTGATGCTGGCTCGATGTTCTACAGGTTAAGCATTTCTAAGTGAGACCGAAATTCTTGGATATCGGTCCGCTCGTGCAAGGAGTAATGGACGTACAGTGCTGATGAATCCATTTCTACTAATGTTTCTAACATTGATAAATTGACAATTCTCTAATGAACCTTAATTATACTTTATACAGTGTGAATTATTAATTTACTAACTCAAAAATCAATATGATTTCTTTTTGCCATTTTTTCCCATAAATGATGTCATCATATTCACAAATAATAAATATTTTTATACAATATTAATGTTAATAATGACGAGAGATAAAAAAAATAAATTTTACAAACTTTATTTCATTATTCATTCATAATCATTCAATGACAATGTAAAAAATAAAACTGAACTACTACATTCTTTCAGTGATTATTATTATACAGTCAAGACCACCACATGGGTATCATTATAAATTAATTAAAAGTAAAAAAGACAATTAACTTTATTTATCAAGCGATCATAAATAATATGTATGCCGATATATGGCAGATGATTGTTTCGGCTTCTTATTGATTTTTCTTATAGAATAATAATAATACTGATGATGATGATGGTGATTAGTAAAAACGCACATTGAACATTGAACAATGTTCAATATTCAATAAATTTTCTTTTCTTTTTCTCTCTCTAAAACTGCGTAATTTTTTTGGCGAAGTCGAACAGGTATGAATGAGAGAGAGAAAAGACAACATGAAACTTTCTGCCCATATATATGTATACAGAACATTTTTGTGGTTATATATACATTTTTTCCTGGTTCTGTGATGACAGAATGAGGAACGGATGCCATAGCAACGTTTGATTGTTTTAAGTACCTGTTCAATAAGCAGCTGATATTGAGTTTTTTTCTAACTGGCTAAACGGTATTTTTTTTACGAAAAAAAACGTGAAAATATCCGACTACTCCATTTTCATGCAATAATCTAGTTTCTCAGAGAGAGAGACAGAGATTATTTGTTTATCTGGGCTAATATACATTTTGAAATGATTGTTAAAAAAAAGGCGCATAGTAAATTTTTTTTTGACATAAACGTAATCACGATTCAAATAAAAATCAACTATAAACTGACTAAAAATAAAATGCAGTGATACATTTGAAAGGATGTTTCGTTTTTGGTTTTTTACTATGAATTCAGTTTTATTTGTAACCATGAATCGATCAATGTTAGACCAACACCATTAGAAACCTGGAAGCACTGGACGGCCGTCTCGTCCTGGTATGAGACTCGTCAGCAGTGCGCACCCACGACTCCTGCACCCCGCAGGACTCGAACCCAGGACCTTCAGTATTGTACGCTAACGCCATAACCGTTAGACCACTGAACCGGTGTCTAACGGTGTTAATGTCTAACTTGATCAAATTCACGGAGTTGCTCAACCTCATACCCTGTATTCATGAGAACAGGTTTGAACTTCATTGGTTCACGACTTCCCACCACTAGAACACAGAGAAGATTCCTCACCAAGCTAGTCATTAGTGGACACATGTAATTACATTGCGGGGTTGTTGTGAAGATTGTTAAGTTTTATTTGTAACCATGAATCTAATGGTGGTCTAACATTGATCGTCGATTCATAGTTACAAATAAAACTTAACAATCTTCACAACAACCCCGCTATGAATTCAGTGTCCAATGTTACTAATATAGTTTGTTTTACTCTGAACATTAAAAAAACGTCTTGTCTATCATGATTTATCACTAAAATTATTCGATAGGTGATTATTAGTCACTTAACACTGTTCTTTCAAGGTCATTTCCTAGTAAGTTTGTTTTAATCATCTACTTAATAACAGAATCCGAAAAAAATGACCAAATGAAAGAGTTCAAGAGTGAAATGAATGCAATGACCTACTAGTTGTTATGCAATCAGTAATACTCTGGTAAAGAAAAGCCTCTCTTTTTAAAAATAGAAAATGCTGTTTTAAAAAGGTGAACAGAACCAATCATAACTTACTGTACTGCACAGTACAATTTCTATGAATAAATGCAATAGCCAAATACTAATTAAGTGTACTGTTTGTTTCTTTGTGAACATGTTCCTCTGTGCTCAATGTTGTATGTGTGTGTGTGAGTCTGTGTGAATGTGAGTGTATGCGGGAACTTGTAGGAATTTTGTAAATGCGAATTTTGGAATTTCGCGCCCAAAAAATTTAATGGTCCGGAGAAACAATTATGTGATTTTATTGACACGAAAATGCATACAATTTACAGATTGATTGTTGATCCAGTGCAGTATTTTATGAAAGTGTATTTCTAGTTTTGTTTTTACTAAAAAAGTGAAGTATTTATTATAATTTCAAGGAGGAAATTTCACTAGGTAATCATTTTAATTCTACATTTTGATTGGTTAATTGAGTTGTGACCAATCAGAAATGAGAAAGTAAAAATGTTTGTTTTTTTTAGAAAAAATTATATTCTGTCAAAGAAAAGGCATGTCGGGGTTTACAAGTGTGGTCAGTAGTAGTGTGGCATGAGCTACTTATAAGTAGTATATGACGTGAGTGTCAACGTAATGTTTGGCAGCAGAAGATGGGGGAAGGTCAAGAAAGGAAGAATTAGAACACAATGGAATTTGTATGAAATGCACGAATAGTGACAATGGATTGTTGATGTTTTGCAACAGAAACAGTCCAGTTCGATATGATGAACTGTTATTTTGCAAATGAACGATTTACAATATGGTTTTCCTATTTTACTGAGTAACTCTGTAATTTTCGTTAAATACAATTCGGTTGACCTACCTGTGTTCTCGTTCACTACAGTAGTAGTAGTTGTGTGTAGTAGTAGTGTAGTGAAGGAGAACACAGGTGAGGGCAACCGAATTGTGTGTAACGAAAATTACAGAGTTACTCAGTAAAATAGGAAAACCATATCGCGTAAACCGTTAATTTGCAAATCTTCAATTCATCATCAATCCATTGTCTGACATTTCACTATTCATGCGTTTCATACAAATTCCATTGTGTTCCCACTCTTCCTTTCTTGATCTTCCCCCATCTTCTGCTGCCAGACATTTCGTTTACACTCACGTCATATACTACTTATAAGTAGCGCGCACCACAGTAGTAGTGTGAGTGGTAGTAGTAGTAATGAGTAGTAATCATAGTATTAGTTGTAGTCAAAATGAAGAGTATCTTCAGTTGGAAATCAGTATGATTTTCGAGTGAGAGAACTGTGACATTGTGTTTGAAAAATAAAACAGTGTATCAAGCAGGACGTTGTAAAACACTTGAAATAATCTACATCTTGAGGAAAGAATTTATAAACAGACAGCATTGAGCCAAACTAATAGTGATCACCCGAAGCAATAATTCAAGCATGTTCGGGATGCGATTCTCCACGTCGAAATACAAAATATTGCTTCAGGATTAGCTTACATTGACACTAAAACTACTGATAGGAAGTGGAGTAGTTGAGAGTGCTGACCGCTTCACTTATCTCTGGAGACTCATCAGTGTTGATGGCCTGGTTACTAAAGAAATCTCACCACAGAAGCAAACTGTGTAATTTATGGCGTAAGCGAGATATCTGTCTGTTAACTAAAGAATGGGTCTACTGTGCAGCAGTTTGCTCCGTCCAACTTTATAGCTCTGAAACATGGCTGGTAAGAAGAGAGGATATTCAAGGAGTTAATAGTAGTCGATCATAGATAGGTACATTCGAAATATTGTGCGTAGAAGAAAAACTTACTAGGTAAGGATTGCAGATCAATTGATGAGGTGTTTCTAACATGTGCTACGTATGCCCAACCACTGACATTCCCAACGAGCGATGTTTCGTTGTGTAGCAGTAGGTTGGACCTAACCGTTGCACCAGTCCATGAATTCGCTTACAAGTGAACTGAGCTATGTTGGTAGCTGTAAACTATCAAGTTGGCGTCTGCAAAGATGATACTAACCGATGGCTTAAAATCGTTCGCAATCTTACAGATGTACCCTCAAATTCTAATCTTCTGAATTCCTTATGACCTTTATCTTCTCCTCCTTTTTTTAAAAATTTATTTCACTAGATTATACGTCTTGAATCATTTCTTCAAACCCCTTGATCTTATTTGATTTCAATTTTTTTTTTAACAATCAACCAACTCAATGCTCTTATCATCCAGTGAACATTTTACTCTGAATGTCAACTTTTTTAAATTCAAAATTAATTTCTATTTAACCATGTGTGTGTTTATCAGGCTTGTTTAAACAGTCTTCTTTTTTTCTGTCTAAATTGGCCTGAACATTTGATGATAAATTAATTTCATTCTGTATGTTGTTAACAAAAAAGTTGTTTTACATATATCAATAACCTTTTTTTTAAAACAAACTTTTAGATAAATTATTTTTCTTACTATAGGGAGAGTGAAATGAACACTTTTAAATATTGAATGCTCAGTAGAAATAATCAATTTTTTGAAAATTTTTAAGTAGTAAGGACTATTGAACATTGAAAACAAATATTGAACATATTACGTTCATTATATGAAGATTGTTAATTTTTACAGCAACATCATCAATCAATTGAATGCTAGACACCGATCGTTAGATTGATCAAAGTTAGACATTACCAATTTTCAACGTCGGACGATACAGTGGTCAGCAGGTTAAGCGTTTTCACCCAGGGCCAAAGGTCTCTGTTACGATTCACGCTAGCTGAGATCCATGGGGGTTAACAGAGGTAAGTAAGTACGTAAGTAAGTAAGTAAGTAAGTAAGTAGGTAAGTAAGTAAGTAAGTAAGTAAGTAAGTAAGTAAGTAAGTAAGTAAGTAAGTAAGTAAGTAAGTAAGTAAGTAAGTAAGTAAGTAAGTAAGTAAGTAAGTAAGTAAGTAAGTAAGTAAGTAAGTAAGTAAGTAAGTAAGTAAGTAAGTAAGTAAGTAAGTAAGTAAGTAAGTAAGTAAGTAAGTAAGTAAGTAAGTAAGTAAGTAAGTAAGTAAGTAAGTAAGTAAGTAAGTAAGTAAGTAAGTAAGTAAGTAAGTAAGTAAGTAAGTAAGTAAGTAAGTAAGTAAGTAAGTAAGTAAGTAAGTAAGTAAGTAAGTAAGTAAGTAAGTAAGTAAGTAAGTAAGTAAGTAAGTAAGTAAGTAAGTAAGTAAGTAAGTAAGTAAGTAAGTAAGTAAGTAAGTAAGTAAGTAAGTAAGTAAGTAAGTAAGTAAGTAAGTAAGTAAGTAAGTAAGTAAGTAAGTAAGTAAGTAAGTAAGTAAGTAAGTAAGTAAGTAAGTAAGTAAGTAAGTAAGTAAGTAAGTAAGTAAGTAAGTAAGTAAGTAAGTAAGTAAGTAAGTAAGTAAGTAAGTAAGTAAGTAAGTAAGTAAGTAAGTAAGTAAGTAAGTAAGTAAGTAAGTAAGTAAGTAAGTAAGTAAGTAAGTAAGTAAGTAAGTAAGTAAGTAAGTAAGTAAGTAAGTAAGTAAGTAAGTAAGTAAGTAAGTAAGTAAGTAAGTAAGTAAGTAAGTAAGTAAGTAAGTAAGTAAGTAAGTAAGTAAGTAAGTAAGTAAGTAAGTAAGTAAGTAAGTAAGTAAGTAAGTAAGTAAGTAAGTAAGTAAGTAAGTAAGTAAGTAAGTAAGTAAGTAAGTAAGTAAGTAAGTAAGTAAGTAAGTAAGTAAGTAAGTAAGTAAGTAAGTAAGTAAGTAAGTAAGTAAGTAAGTAAGTAAGTAAGTAAGTAAGTAAGTAAGTAAGTAAGTAAGTAAGTAAGTAAGTAAGTAAGTAAGTAAGTAAGTAAGTAAGTAAGTAAGTAAGTAAGTAAGTAAATATCTGAATAGAGTTTCCATACGTAATCAGGATTTATTAACGATTGGTTTCAATTTGCAGACTGTTAAAACATGGAGGATAACTTGACGAATATTTCATTTCAATATGTCAACTATCGACAATAAGCACTCATGACCACATCATAGGTTCGTCGAATCAGGACATCTAAATGTCCAGGTGAATGCATAAAATTTTGGTCACTAGGTTGGTATTCAAACGATATTACACTTCTAATCACCGTCAGTAGGTAAAACACCTTGAAGACCATACCATAACTTCAGAGACCTCTGTTTGTTATAGACAAATAAACGGTATAATGATCTATCCCAGTGAACCAACAGCCTCAGCAGCAGTAGGTCTCAACATACGCAAGATTTTCTGGTACAACTCATCATGCACAAACTTATTCACACATGACGGTGAAGCTTTGAAAGACGTAAACACCTTTACGTATCTACGCAGGATCATAGATAAGCACGGTGGATTACATACAGATATGGAAACGCGGATCGGCAAAGCAAAGTCAGCATTTCTACAATTGAACAGTATCTGGAACTCAAAACAACTATCAACAAACATCAAAACCAGAATTTTCAATACAAATGTCAAGACAGTTCCATTTTAATGGGGCTGAAACTTCAAGAACTATGAAAGCCATCATCTGGAAGATACAAGTGTTTATCAACAGTTGTCTACACACAGTCAGTCGGGTCCATTCGATAGGCACTATCAGAAACAGCTTATTGTGAGAGAGAACAAACTAGATTCCAGTATAGGAGGAAATCAACAACACGCGCTCTGAGTGGATAGGACACACATTGAGAAAAGCATCAAACTGCGTCACAAGACATGCCCTCCTCACTTGGAATCCTCAAGGATAAAGGAAAAGAGGAAAGATGAACAATAAATTACGCCGAGCAACGGAGACAGACATGATAAGAATGAACAACTATTGAACAGAACTAGAAAGGCAGGCCTAAGATGGAGTAGGTTGGAAAGTGCAGTTGACAGCCTATGCTCCATTGAGGATAACTGGCGGAAGTGTTTTCCTCTTCATGACCAGAGTATAACAGCAGTTCCTCTGAAGCTAGTCTCAGTGGTCCTACCTGTGTCCAATGCGTTTCACTGATGTCGAGTACCTCGAGGTTGTATCTTTTCATTTCTGCAGCAACTTGAAATAGTCTTCCAGTCTCTCACAATGTACGAACGTTCCATGTACCTAAAAGAATGTTTGCTCTGGTTGTCAGAAGAGGCATCGGCCCCGTGACTTCCGAGGGAACTCGGCTTTCATCACGAGACGTCATAATTCTTCTTCCAACTCCCAGGGTAGAGTTAAAATGGTTTGAATTAGTTTTTCTGGTTAGCGTTTTTTCGGCAATTTAGATTTCGACAGAATGGGGTCGCCAACCCCATGTCCAACCCCTCCTCCTTTATCCGTGCTTGGAACCAGCAGTAGCCCCGAAGGGTCTACAGGCAGAGTTACTTAAATTACACTTCAATAAAAATTTTTATCATCAGTAAGCTATAATAAATGTCCTAAAATCTAACTGA